GTTTTGAAAATTCTTTCAAATGTCAAATAATTATCCGATTTTAATGAAATTTTCAGGACTTATTCACAAATTAATTAAATTATATTTTTAAAATATACTTTTTAGAAAATTTTGGTAAAAATATTTTTTTCACATTTGTTAACCTCCGCTTATTTTATGAATTTTTAATAAATTAAAAATTCAGCCTCTTCCTTTATATTAGTAAAAGAAGGACTCCTTGCAGAATTTAAATGATCAATATTTTTGCAAACAGAAACACCATTTACCGAAAATCTGCTCTGAATCGTAAAATAAAAATGGCAACAAAACTGTTATTTAATTAGAAAAGCTTCTAAATGTTTTTATAAGCTATATTAAGAACACTATTGTGTCTTAAAAGTTTGTTTTTTGTTTTTTTTTTCGATGAATTTTTACAAGAATTGTTTTTTTTTAAGTTTTATTAGAAAAAAAAATTGTTTTTAAATCTTTTAAAATTCTGTATTAATTTCAGCCTTTTAGATGATAAGTGAAAACTATATTAATTAATCATAATCTTACTACAAATCATGAATATTTCTAAAAGAATTTTGAATTTTTTTGTATGTGTACAGTACTGTATAAATGTGCCAATTTTTCTAAGTACGGGTGACCATACACGACATTATCAGAAAATATGAGCGATGACAATAGTAAATTTAATGTCAAAATTTTATTATTTCAATAAAACATTAGATTACGAAGAATATTTTCCTAAATGTTTAAGATTACTGAATACTTATATAAAAAAGGCGTTCTCGTCATTTTCTTCAATTATGTTTTATATATACAGTCCCCGTAGATCTGTTATCAAACACTGCTACTGTTGGTCAAAAAAATACATTTCTGCGACATTTTAAACTTAAAGTAAATAATATTTGTTCCAAATCAGATTAATTAAACTTTAAATCAGATAATAGTCCTCAAATAAAGTTCCAGAAAAGAATACTTTATTTTTTGAAGATTTTTTTTTAATAAAGAGAATTACATTGCAATGAAAGACGACTAGACTAAAAAAGGTCGCTACTCAGCTATTTTAGAAAAAGAAATCCTTCCAGCCAATTTAAATTAGTTTTTGGAATACAACTGCCCGACGAAAAATGCCCGATGTTTATATATATGTGTAGAATATGAATATTTAGATATTTTTGCTGTTGTTCAAAAGGGAACGTTAAGCATTCCATCCCCCTTCTCATGGAGATGAAGACCCTGTACCGAGATGAAACTTACGGTTTATCGGATACAAGATATTTTTGAGAACGCAAAATTGTCGTGAGTCTGCAAGAGTTGGTTTGTTTAATATAAAATCATTTTAATTATTAGTTTCATTATTGATTTCTTAATCAATATTGAAGATTATTATTACTATTTGCATTATTCGTATTATTGATAACATTATTATTATTATTATTATTATTATTACTGGGACATTATTAAAAAACAACGAAATCATAAAGAATATATCAAAGATTTAAAGCTATTGAAACTTACTTTTTAGGACGATAAACAATTGTGAGTGAATATCAAAATTTCACTCTCAATTTCAAAAAATTGGTTGTATTTTTCAACGTCTAACACGAAGAAACCTGCTATTGCACTAAAATTATACTATGATACTTTCCCTTTCGAATGACAGCAAAAATATCTAGATAAATATTCTATATATAAAAATCGCGCATTGTTCCATCGGGATCTTGTCAATCGAGCAGTTCTCCGGATACCTAAAATTAACAATCAGACAAAAAAATATGGTTAAAAATATATAGTAAACTTGTCTATAATTGTAAGAAAAGTTGTTTTAATATCTGTCCCCTACACGCAAGCCGATAGTAGCCCACTGGCAGGCCGCCGGTGGCAACGCCAGCGGTCCTCTGGTGGTGGCCACCGGTAGGTCTCTAGCGGTCCGCCAGTGGTAACATTGCCGAGACGAACACGCCGGCGGTCCGACAGCCATAAACGCTAGTGGCATGATACCCAGAATCAGATTGGTGACTTGCGTGTAGGGTCTATCAATGAACTATAACAGATGCAGGAAACACGATGACATTGTCGGATTGAGCAAATTTTCCTGTTGCTCATGTTTTTTTTTTCTTTTTCTAGCACGCATTTTGTGACGTATTCGAAATAGTACGGGTTCCCTAATGTCTTTTAAGAGTGACTTTATGTGAAAGGATAATAAAGAATGGTGATTTTAAACGAAAAAAAAAAAAATGCGCGCAAAATAAATGTGAACAAACTACGGAGATCGGTTGCGTATACGAAGAAAGATTATGCCGAATTAAGGTGTTGAATAAAGATATATAATTTTATTATTTCTAAATGCGTATAACATTTACGTACATAGGACGCTGAAGGTAAAAGGCCGATGGCCCAAAAGAAAGCAGGAGCGAGCCTAAAGTCCACCAGAAGGCCGGCTTCTAGGATAGGGAATAGATACAATTAAAAAAAAAATCCTGAACAATTAATTACTTTCCAGACACCGGATTGTATTAGAAAACTGATGTGACGTTCCGTTTTGGCTTCTTGTCAACACTCAACAAAAGCCTAAAATAAATATTTAAGAAACTAATCCGAATTTGAACAAAAGAAAATTTGGCGATGAGGGCATTTATATTTGTATAATTTATTTATTTATTTTTTTTATTTTTATTTTTTTTTAATTATCATATCCAAATAATAAAAAAGAGCACCTCAACGTGGTGTCAGGGTTAGAAAGCTTGTCTCGCTAGAACAGTTAGGTAGTGAATTTGAGCCTCACTGGGTGCCCTCTACTTTCAACCTTGTGTCACATCTAAGTTGCGAATCACCATAACCAAATAATAAAAAAACAACACCATCTCTAGCCAGTGGCGTAGGGTGGCTTTTGAGTACCTCGGGGCAATTTAAATTATTGCACCTCTTGCTTAGCCCCGAGTTGTTAAATTCCAGTCTCCTACGTATTTTCTCAACGTAATTTTTTTGCACCCTTAAAAACTTAACGCCCGGCGCAATCGCGCCTCTGACCCCGCCCACGCTACTCTCTCTAGCAGAGATAGCGATTTGATTCCAACCTTTCTCAGTCAACTGCCCATGCCTAGGGATATTTCATCCAATTCTTATATTTTTTAATACTGCTCGGTTATTGTTCGCCCCCGTCAAGGATTGAACTCACAACTACGATGTTACCAAATTCACGAGCCCACGTTTTAATCCACGAGGCTATTTCTGCTTTGTTGTAAAAAGTTATGAGTGTTTTAATGAAACAAATCAATTTTTCTACTCATATTAAAATTTGAACAAAAGTGATCGATCAGTACATGGTTTCCCGCGTCTCACCAGATATTTCATGTAGATCTATAAATCATTTCCTCCGGAAATAAGTAACCGCAGACGTTTCTACCAAGGTTTTCTTTTTTTAAAGAATACCTTTAAGGTCCTCAAAATTTATGTATATGTATAAAACACATATAGTAAGCATTTATTATGTATAGAATGTGAGTGATGAAATTTTGGCTGGGGAGGTGGGTAATGAAAAGAACAATGTTGCGGGCTGGGTAAGGAATTACCGTATTTGTCGGCCTATTGAACGCATCTAGATTTTGGCATGGAATATTCGGGAAAAAATGCACACCTCACAAGGAAAAAATAAAAATTATAACCTTACCTTTATGATACATTCTGACTAATCATGAAGAAACACTAACATTATTAGCGCAAACTATACGACTGATACTTTTTTCAAACAGAAGCGAGGTAAGGTTTAATTACCAGGACATTTTTTTAGAAAAGAAGAATTTTAATACATTTCATTATGCATTTATTGAAAATTGTTTCAGTTGTTTTCCAGGGAGCAACATCTGCACATACAGTAAATTCACAATAGCAACAAAGAAATCTACTAGTGTCAGTGAACTCTAGTACATATGGTAATAAGCAAAAAAAAAATCTCAGAAATTTGGTACTTGTTGATAAATGAAGTCTCATAGCATGCATGCAGAAAAGGCAATTCCAATACCTGTATATCAACAAAAACACACACAAAGCAATCAGCAATATATCAGTCAAAGCAAATATTTCTGTAAAATCTGATATTTATACAAAAACAGTAGCCAAATATTGTGCAATTCCATAAAATTTTTAATTTCTTTTTCCTGGGTGAATTTTTCAGGGATATTTTTAATGATATCATGTTTGAATCACTTCCAGGAGTCCTAATTTCAGAGCTAAGCTCTATGTGAGCACTGAATCCTGCTGAACCCCACTTTTTTCGTGGTCTTCATGTCCCTCTCATACATGATACTGCTGTATTGAACCCAGGGTAATTTTATGGTGCATCTTTTATAATCCGCGTCCAATAGGCCGGTAAATACGATAGTTGAATCCTGCATTAGTCACTTTGAATTTCCGGAAATGGATAATCGCCTTACGTCTGCCTCCCACAACAACTGAGCTACAACTGCACCACCACGTGCTACACTCTCTCACTGAGTCAGGAGAATAGTGGGAAGAAGTTGCCAACTAGGAATTAAGAGTACTGTAAAAATTTTGAGGTAACAAAACACTCCATGTGACTACTGCAGGGTTAAGAGTAACATAAGACTGATCCATTTATTAGCCAAACTAATGCATTCCGTTAAAGATTATTATAGTCACCTAGAAAACATGTCGGACTGAGAAACTGTGTATAACAGCACAACCTTTTATAGAGATGAAAACTAGATCATGGAAACCGTCTTTACTCAAATTGTTACAAAACGACAGATAGACTGTCATCTCGTTGTGGCCTCTGATCAGCACAATGAGGGAAGATTGGCTAGTAACGTTCACTATTTTAACTGCAGCACCTGGTATTCCACAGCGGTCACCCATCTGAGTACTGACCCAGCTCAACGATGTTTAACTTCTTGTGCTCTCTCAGCTCAGAAGTAACTCCGCATATCGAGGACTTCTGTTAGTATAAGTAGCGAGATTGTATACATCGCCGACTTGATAGACCTGTTGTGAAGCTTACAGCACCTGGTATTCCACAGTGGTCACCCATATGAGTACTGACCAGTTTCAACGTTGCTTGACTTCTGTGATCTAACGAGAACCCATGTTTCAATGTGATATGGCTGTAAGCGAAAAGAAGTGGAACAGGCGAGCTGATTTCAAATTCCGGCCTAGTTTATTTGACAGCAAGACAAAGTGGGCTCTCTAAGTCACGATTACCTTATGGTGTTTTTCTAAGCCTACCTTAAACGTGGCAGAAGGACAAAGATGTGGAGCACCCAGTGAATATCGAACTCTCTACTCAGTTGTAATTGTTCTAGCGAGACAAGCTTACTAACCATTGCACCACGTTGAAGCGTCCACAAATAATTTTCTAAATTTAGCTTAAATGTGACAAGCCCGAAACTGTGGAGCACCGAGTGAAAATCGAATTCATTACTCAGTCGTTATTTTTGCTAGACAATCTTGCTAACCATTACACCTCGTCGAGGTACCCAGTCACGATTACCTTAACTGGTGCCAAATCCCTGGTCATTCCTGGAGATTCGTCTCCTCCCTCCTTTGAACTAAAAAGAATAGCTGATAGGACTGGGAAATTCTTACCACTGCCTTCACACACGTGTGGAGTGCCACATTTTGTGTTATGTGGCCCTCGCGGGAAAACAAATGCATATTTTAATTATTTTAGTAGATATTTCAAGTATATACCGTAGTATCTAACTACCTTTCTATGTAAGGTGTGCATCACACTCCAAAAGAAAATATTTAAGCTTCGCCCATTTCAAAAAGATCAAAGGAGACATAAAATCTGTCTGCATATATTTGTCTTTAATCTCTATCTCCGCGCCCATTCCTTTTGCACGTTTTTCTAGCTTTCTTTCTTATCATCTACCGTTCTCTCTTAAACCCCTATATTCCATCTTTCCTCAAATCCATTGATTTTCCCCCAATTCTGTTACCTTGTGGAAATGAACAGGTATATTATATATATATATATATATATATATATATATATATATAAATATAAATCTTTTCAAAATGCGCACAGGTATTACACTGAACCGGGAATTCATTAGATAGTATCTCCGCTTATGCCAAAATGTACTGTCTCGCGGTCTTCATTTGCTCAGTTCTGGGAATCAATTTCAGATATTATGTCACCCTTTTTTCTTTGGTTTCCCCTACTAGTTATCATTTCTTCTAGGCAATTATAAAAGCTTACCGAACCGGTTGTTGGATTATCCAAAAATAATCTTATATATTAATAACCGATATATATATATATATATATATATATATATAGTAGTAGTTAAAATATAATTAATATAATTGCTGTAAGTTCTGCGGAGGCTGAAAAAGGGTTTTCTGTGGTGAACATAATTTATTCTGACAAAGGAAATCGTCTTGAAGTTAAAATTGTGGCAAATCTTCTGGTCATATATTTGATAGATATTCCATTGGATCTTTGAGATTGCAGCAATTCAATTCGAATGTGGCTAAGAAACCATAACGCAGCTGATGATACTAGAGTCAAAAAGCATCATACTTGTGAACAGAAATATGATGAGAACAGAATTTCAATCTGGAAATATCTTAAATAAATGTTTTCTACTAAAATATCAATTTGTTTAATTCTTTTTTTATACTATAAATATAAAATGATTTGTTTCCATTCTGAGATTGAAAAGGAAATAAGCAGAATAGGTTCCTAATGATTACCTGCCTCTATAGAGCCGGTTACTGGAAATTTAAGATGTCATTTATTGCTTCTAGGTATATTTGTTACAATTAAAAAACATTTTTACGTTTGATGTGATCATAAAATTTAAGTGTTTTGCTTTTAATGAAAGGAACAATCGGAATTAAGTCAAGAAACGACACTTTGATCCAGGGTAGAGAGCACAGATATGAGGTACCACCAAAATGGATGCTTTTTTCCGAAATGAAAGCAAAAAACTCTAAACGTTGTTTTAAAATATTTGCCAAAAAAAATGAGGGAATTATTCAATTCAAACGAAAGAACTTTTTACTGAATAGATCCCCCCCCCCCATTAAAAAACTTTGGGGAAATATTTCTTGGGAGTATGTTTCACCTCCACCTTTTCAATATCTCGTGTGCACCTTTTAATTGGGAGTGGGGGGGAGGGTCGTCAATTTTTTTTAGTTTTATGAAGAAAAATCGTTAAAGATATTTCAGAAAAAAAAAAAATTATCCAATATCAAGTGTAAAAAGAGGAAAATTCAGCCCGCATCTTAACAAAAATAATTCAATAAACTCAAAAATGTTTTTTGTTTGAGAATTCATGCTTGCATAAATAAAAAACAGGTTATCTTTCAAATTGAATAGAAAAAAAAAACACTTAATAAAATTTATTTTTTAAAAATAAAAAATTAGTGTTTCCATTTAAAAATTTTATCCTTTGACCTCAAAAGTCTACCACGTGTAAATTAAAAGTAAAAATTTTCATTCTGTTTTAAGTAAAAAAGTAAGCGTTACTTTTTTTGAAAACCAATTAACTAAATTTACTAATATTCTTCGAAACACATAGGACAAATATTGGATTTTAAAAAGAATTTTAAGTTTGTTGTTTACATTCGTATACCTTGACGGCTCCGAAATCCCAATGTTTTAAAAATGCCTAAAAAGTTTATATACGGATTAAAAAAAAATTAAATCGGATTATTAGCCTTTCTTAGGTCATTATCTTTCAAGTTGAACCAAATTTCAAAGAAAGCATTTTTAAATTTAAAATTAGTTTTTCGGGTTTTTTAGAAAGTCCGTGGAGGTATCGAGATAATTATTAATTAAATTATCTTCGGCAGAAGTGACATAATTCCATCATTTCTTTCTATGGCAATTGTTCAGTTTAAAAAGTTTGGAAATCTTTATATTGGTAAAGAGAGCAAATATGGTGTACTGTAGTGTAGTCTAAATTAAATTATATGATGATAAAATGAAACTTTAAATGAAATGTGACTTTAAAAATTCGTCACATTTGTTATAATAAATTTGGATTATTTTCTTTAGCTTAAAAAAAAAAAAAAATTACAATTATTACATTTTTAAAAGTACTTTTTTGGTGTTGTGTCAAATAACCAAAAATAATGACCCGAAAGAAATGCAAATATTTTTTTCATAAAAAAAAAAAAAAAAAAAAAAAAAAATAATTTTATGGTCGCTTACTCCCGACTGAAAATTTAATGAAAATAAAATTGCTTATTCAGTGTCAGATACATCCACAAATTAATAAGCCAACAACAACCCAAAATTAGAAGTCTCTCCACCCCCACTCAAAGTAAAGGTTGGGGGTCGTACAGTTAAAAATGCGAAAAATATCCCCAATGTGAATGAATAAAGATAGCAAATTGTTAATAAATAAATTTAAAAATAAAACAGATAAGTTTACTTTACGATAATTAATTTTTGTACGATATCTGATTTTCTAACGGACGTTTTTTAGTGAAAGCCGAAAATTCTAGTATGAAAAAAAAAACAAAAAACGAATGAATTTTCGCTGAACTCTGACTAGCATCATTTATTGTTTAAATAATGAACGCTTAGATATTTTTTGTTTACAATATATATTACAAAAAAAGTATTTTTCTTTCCTAAAGCTATACCGAGTAATTTGCAAAGAATATGACGGTTGTGGGCAAAATACTTTTTTTTCCACCTTCATATCTACCACCAATTGTACGAACACTCAGACTGACTGTATGGTGGTAAAATGTGGGGAGGATGTCATCAGTATTTGTTATATTTAAAAGCACTTCTTTTTATAATGCAAACTCGTCATTAGAGTCATTAATGACCCTGTACTGTTGAAACAAACGAAACCCCAGCAGTTTGCAGCACTACCCCTTGAACAAAAGCGTAAGAGTTCGCAGTAGAAATATTTATTTAAATCGGACATGAAATATAGGGGAACCTTGGTTTAGATGCACCGTTTTCACTATCAAGTACTTTCTAGTCTCTTTCAACTCGCTACTACTGTTTTATTTATTTTTTATTATTTATCATCATCAATAGTCAACATCTTGTTTTGTATTCAAAAGATAATTTCTCTTGTGGTTGCTGCTTACTAACTGGATTGTTCAGCATTCGTCTATCACCCACTTGACTCGAAACATTTAAAAAATAAAGACACTAAGAAAGAAACATGGAGTTTATCTCTGACGACTACCCTCATAATTCTTACCTGCATCACAGGAATGTACTTAATCCTTACGATTCCCCTTACGCCCATCCAGATTACCTGGGTGGAGACGACGATTTCGGACAAGATGATGAACCCTTCTGCCCTGACGACGAAGAGAGTGGACAGAAGAGAGCAATAATGGACGATGATGATAATGATGATGATGATGACTACATCACTTCTTCTGTTTACCAAACACGACACAAAGACAACGACGACGAGGAGGATATTTCTTCTCGTAACTCCAGGAAATCTGACCAGCAATGGGAAGAATATTCACGTGGAACAGGACAGAACCCACAGGTGAAATCTAGCGATGACTACAACCCGAAAACGGATGGCAAAGGAACAAGCTGTACGACTTTGGAAGAGAAACTGACATATCAACTTGAACAGTTAAAAGCGGTTTTGTCCAAAAGATTTAACAAGTTTTCAGAATTTTGCAGCTGGAATTGTTTCTTCAGTCTCTTGTTTGTAGTCGGGGTGCTTCTTGTTTTCCTTGACCATTACGGATCATCTTACGTGAGGATGATGAACATGCAAAAGTTTTTCTTTTTTGTGATGGGGGTGTTGACCACTACCGTGGCTGTTGTTGTGGTCTGCGTGGTTGTCGCTTTTACAAGTTGTTATGGGGACGGATTTTGATGGGGTGAGGTGGAAAAAGAAAAGCCAACCACCCCTGACCTGGAAGTAATGTTAAGGTAGGCTATGATAGGAAAGGAAGAAACTTCGTCTTGTGGGATGGGAAATTATGTCATAGACGACGAAATAACCTTTTCTTTAAAAAACAAAACAAAAAAAAAAAATAATTATTAATATTTTTAATAAGTTATTAATGCGTTTTCTATAGACAATAATTTAATCTAACAATTAAAAAGTATCATTTAATTACTCTCGTTATGAATTTATCAAATAATTTATTAAAAATATTACGTATTTTAAATGAACATTGAAAGACATTACCTTTTCTCCATGACTCAGTCTTCTCCTTTCCTACCCACAAACCGAAGTTAGAACTTTTTTTCCGACATTCAAGCGGGTCACGTCTAAAAATATTACGTAATTGCATAGTTCAGTTGATTAAACAATTATTTAATCAGGGTCAGTGCAAGGGTATCATGCCCACCCCTCGAATCTATGATACGAGGTCTCCATTTACATCTCAATAATTTTTTTTCATCAGGTCGTATTCATATATAAATTTTATTGTAACCTAATTATGGATCATGCAATAGGTGAACAATTCAACTAATTACTAGAAAAATTGAAAATATATGTGCAAATTAGAGAGTCATGTCATATCATTCCATAAATAGATAAATAAATCAATGTTTGGCGGCAATTTTTAACAAGAGATTTTTCTTGTTAAAAAGTTGACGCATTCAATTACAGATAAAAAAAAAATAGTGAATTTTAGATTTATTTCAAGACAACATGAGCAAAAAAACAAATTCACGGATTGAACAAAAAAACAAAACAATGACGTCAGAATCCTTTTTTTTTTTTTTTCATTAGTTAGATATGCTTATTTTTTTTAATTTGTAACGCAAATAAATGTAGGTAAAAGAAAAAGTAAATGGTAGCGAGAGTGACTAAAAAGCACTGTTTGGGGCCCCCAATCAGGCTTGACCCACCCCCCATCTCCCTGTTGGTAGGTAGTACGCACCGGCCATATATTTATAAATTGATCATTATTTATTACTTCCCAATCAAATCTTCCATCATTTGCTCGCCCTTTATCATAAATTGTAACAAATATCCTTTTAAAAATTGCATTGCATTGTAAGTTAAATTTTAAACTCTATTTTTATTTTTTATTTATTTGTTTGGGACTCAAAGTTTAAAAAAAAAAAAAAAAGATCATATAACGAGAGAGTATATCAATAAATCTGTAGCCTGGCACGTAATGAGTTGAAATTTGTAATGTTCGATCTTTTGACAATGAAGGATATTAAAAAATCAATGCTTTTCAGGCCAAAAAAAAAAAAAAAAAGATTTATTACTGTGCTGTGTACTTAAAAAAATATCTCTTTCAGTAGAGTACCACATTTTTCTACAGGTTCAATTTTTAAAATTGTTTTAAAAAAAATTATATTTTTTTTTTTTTTTTTTGTAAAATGTTTGGGGTACTGTTACGGTTCAACGTTTCAAGACATTTTGCATACAAACACGTATTTTTTACGTAAATTTCTTGAACAAGACTCGTTTCTGAGCAATCATTTGGATTTGAAGTTAGTTTTTGAATTTTACTTTGAGGTAAAATAAATAAGAAATGGTTTGAAATGCAATATTTTTTATCTCAACTATTTTTTTCTTAAATAGTAAAGAAAAAAGTAGTTGAAATAAAATAAAAAAAATTATATTGAATTTCGGGCGATATTCTTCGTTTTATTTATTTATTTTCATTTTTTTTGCTTGAATGCATGATTTCACATCAAAAGGAGAGCTTAGAATAGTAATTTATTAAGCGTAGCTTAGATGTGGCACAAGGCTGAAAGTATGGAGCACTCGTAATTGATGTAGAGAGGCAAGATTGCTATGCTAACCATTTTTACTACAGCGTACTGAGTACACCAAGTCGAAGTGGCCAGCAGAGCTTAGAATATGAGTCTAGTTCAAGAAACAGTGTTGGGATGTAAGGGAGGTAAATCCGTCTGGTTCGCAGAAATTGTTTCAAGCGCTGAAACTCATCATAATCCTGTATTTATTTCTTAAAGGATTTTTGATTTTAAATACGAATAAATTTTTACAGACAATAAATCACTAACCTTGATACATTAAGAAGCAGTTTTAAAATTAGCACAAGTTGAATAAAAATTTATTAAAGGCTTATCGATCTTTTAACTTTATTTTTTTTTATTTTTTATTTTTTTTTAAGTAAATGATTTTTATTTCCATTTATCGTTTTTTTTTTTTTTTTTTTTAATGTAAATTGTAAAAATAGTAATTATTTAATTACACAACGATTATAAAATCCATTCGGTCAATGAATGGAGAAAAAAAATCTCAAATTGCGTTGTTTTAGAACAGCGTGAAAAATACTTTCCTTTCACAATTAACATACGCAAAAAGAGGGGTTTAATAATTCAAATTGTATCTATTTAAAAATAAAATAAAAATAAGATCTCAAGAGCAGGAAAAATGAATTGAAAAATACGTCCAGTTTGTCGACATCATATCACGTCCCAAAATGACCCCTACCCCCGAAAAATATCTTCTTTCTTCTGCAACCAATATTATTTCTACCCCAGAAATATTTAAAAAAAATTTTATTAGTCATTTAAATAATCTGTCTTATCACGATAAAAGTAAAATTAATCTTGCTTATTTTTAAAGTAGATTTCTTAAGAAGTTAAGAAAATGTAGACTTTTTTACGTTGCTTTGATAATGATCTGTTTGGAATAATCACTTTAATTGATCTCTTAAAAAATAATAATAATCGAGATCTTTTTTCTTTCTTTCTTCTTTCTTTAAGGGAAGACTTTTTTTACCATTCTTCATATGGCGAATCGCACAATATACATTTTTTTTTTTTTTTTTTTTTTTACGTATATGTTTTTTTATATTGTCAACAAAATCATTCAAATACGGGAATTAAAAAAAAAATCAGTTCAATGATTAATTTATTTATTTCACCAAAACTTGTAAATAATTAATAAAAAATTTTTTAAAAAAATACATGTTCAAGGTGATCAGAGAAAAAAAAATTTTCGTTTATCTTTCCGGGATGATGAAAAATCTGTATCTACCTTTTAAAAAATGTTCTGCTCTTAAAATACTTTGATATACAACAAAAATAGGATTTAAAATGTGGTCTGCCCCATGGTTGGGATGGTTACAGGTTACTCGTTTTGTTTTCTATCGATACCAAAGATCAGTGATTGATCTGAACTTGAAGCCAGTCTTTTCTAAATGCTGATTTTGTTGGAATAAAAAAAAAAAAATCCAATGCTTTCAAACTGTTTAATCGGTGTGCATTTAAAGATGAGAAATGGTTAGAAAGTAAAAAGCACATGTTTTAGTGTTGAATTGAGGCCATTAATATTATTAATTCAAAAGCCTTTAATGATTAAAAAGGTATTTATAGGAGGTATCTATTAAAGATATTTTTTAAAAAGACTATCCCATCCATGAAAAATAATTTTCTAGTTTATACCCCCTGCCTAAAGGTACGTGTTTTTTTTTCCTTGCACACAAAAATCTTTTATATATTTAATCCTATTTATTTGAATATTCAATATCGACATTTTTGTAGGAATCCATTCATTATTGAGCCTTGTAAAACTATTTCTTTTCTTGATTTAAGCAGCTATTATGATTGTAATTTTTTCTTATCTACAAGGATTGCTTGCTCTATTCTGAGAATCAGTGGGACGCTGGGAAGAAGTAATCCTCTTCACCCCACGACTTGAAAAAAAGACAAATAAAGAAAAGAAACTGGAAAATAGATTGTCTTTTTTAGTTTTATTTCTTTGCACTCCAAAAATTAATTTGTTGTTGTTTGTGTGTGTGTGTGTTTTTTTTTTTTTTTTTTTTAGCCCTTTCCAATACTTTATCTTTTTCTGGAATTATTATTTTTAATCCAACATTTTTTTTTTATTGCGTCAAACATTATTATAGTGGCCACTCGTATTTGAAATAGATGCCCCTTTTTTATTTTAAACAGTTTGTATTACGTCTGTCAGCCTGTGCAAACGAGACATCTTCATAAAGAAAATGTGTTCTCTGGCAGGGATTGAACCTGCATCCATCTTCGTAGGAGCAACCACTGTTTGGTTCGGCATGCTAAGCAAGGCTCTATTTTCTGTTTTAAAGGAAAGCACATCCTCTTCACTCAAATTATTAAGTGAAAATATAGATATCTCAAAGGCATTTGACATGGTTTGACATATTGGGCTTCTCTGGAAGCTCAAGGGCTACAGTGTCTCTGGATGAATATTTGTCTTAATCCAGTCATTCCTAACAAATCGTGTAATGAAGGTTATGTTGAACAGGCACACTCCTATCTCATTTCATATTAATGCATAGTTTCCCTAGGGCTCTATTCTTGGACCCACGCTGTTTCTGATCTTCATCAACCACCTTCCTGATGTCATCAGTTCTCAACTAGGTATTTATGCAGATGACACCTGTCTTAGTAATAAGTCTGACAGATCCTACAAAGTAAACCTGGCATGTGATCTTGAAAAAGAACCTCCAATCAGTTGTTAACTAGGGCAAGAAATGGCTTGTAAATTTTAACACCTCCAAAACAAAACTTTCATTTAATCACTACAGAGAAACTTTTCTGCCTACCATCAGCATGGCTGATGCTAAATTCCAAGAGAGCAACACTCTATACCTTCTTGGGGTCACATTTTCTGCTGGCATGAAGTGGAGCAACCATATTGAATCAATTGCTACAGCTACTGCAAGGAAAGTTGGTTCACCGTTGTGCCAGAAAATCTTTCTTGTCAGAATCCATCTTGCACATTTGTAAATCTACCATTTGTCCATGCAATGAATGGTTTTTTTCACTTCTTACCTGTGAAGCTCCATTCCAATTTCTTGCTTCTCTGCCATCTACAATCTTAAATTTAAATGCAACATCAGTCACCATCTTCTGCTTGTCTGAACCCTGTTCCTTTATTGTCCTTTCCTTACT